ATATATAATAGTTCAATTATATTTTCAAGACAGTTCTATTTGTGTAAAAAAACAACATGAAATCAAAACTTTACTTGAAAAAACTAGAGATATACCATCTAACCAATCACTATACGGTAAAATTGTTTGATCTAGCTAGAAAAAGTTACAATTAATATAAAGTTTTTGTAATATTATTTCATACATGTTTTACATTTACGCTGTCACACGGATACTTCATTTCTGTCTCTGCATTAATATTTTATTACTATTTTTGTTTATACATATATTTCAATTATTATTTTTATTTATGCAATTGCAATATCAATTTTCTATGTTTTTATTCTTACAATACTATTTATTTATACTAAAAATATATATTAATCATGTGTCATTTGGTTAACCCCAGTTAGTGAAAAGTTAACATAAATTAAATTATTAGTACAAACAATCTAGGTTTATATTGACTGGATTTTTTTTATACTAGATAAAATCAATATATTAATAACATGCATATATATATTTTTATGTTTCTCGAAAGAGAATCTATTTTTATATAGACAATTTTTTTAATAAGTAAAATATAACATGTTAGTATAAACTTACAAAAAAAATAGTTTATATTAATGACTATTTTTTTTATGAATATAATCTATATAAGAATCAAACTTAAAAGTATCATATGTCAACCAACTCCTCATATGCCTAGCCGTGCTTCTTGAAACTTTATTGATAAAATTAATAGAATTAATCACTTATATACAAATTTTACACTGACAACCAATTATATCTTTTAATTATGTCAAGTCACTATAAACACATTTACTTTTAACGTTGACATGACACAATTAAAAGATATAATTAGTTGTCGGTTAAAAAAACTTTACACCATTAATATGCGTACACATCATTAAATTGATCATAAAGATGGAAGTTCACAAAATTATGAAATAAGACGTGAATAATTGATTATTTAAACGAATCACTGTATTTCACACCAGCTTTCATACTAGATAAATTGCGAACTATCTATTTAATTCCTGGAAAATTTAATATATTTTTAATCTTTATATTTGTTAAAAGCGAAGTAGTTTAAATCCATACTAAAAATACATGTTTTTTTTTAGAAACTGTAGCGATCAAAAATATATTAAATGTATATAGGGACTAATAATTAACATTTAAAAATATTAAGGGATTATTAATTGTTGGATTTAGATTGCTAATATCAATTAGAAAATAAAATTTGTGAAGTTTTACTTGATGTATATTAGTTATTTGGACTTATAATACAAATTAATGAATTTATGATGGATTAGATCCTCACTTGGTACCTAAATGAGAGGTCTATAATCTCAGTTGGTAGTTATAAAAGAGTTCCTGTCCCCATTAGATAATTTTTACGTGACATAACATTGGAAAACCCTAGCTATGTACCAAGCAGAGAAAATAATTTCCCCATTCGTTGTTTGTGATTGCTTTCGAGGTAACAAATATGAATTCTATCTTCACTTCAAGTACATAATTGTTATTATTTATTATAGGTTTGCATCATTTTTCCCTATAAATATTATAGATTTTTAACTTGATCTATATACATAAAGAATAAATATATCGGTCCTTATTATCAGTGTAGTTTATGTTGTCATGAGTTGATGATATTGTATTTAATAGTTTTACACGTTGAAAGTTAATTTTATTACAGATGCTTAATTTGTTTATTATATATGTAACTCATATAATTTAGTCTATATATCCAAAATATTTTTAAAATCAAATTAAAAATATATTACATATACAGAGACTAAATTAAAAAAATATGTTATATGTACAATAATCAATTTAAGAATGCATAAAAAGGTTAACGATCAACATAGGACCATTGACAATGACCAAACCGTAACATTTGTATGTATAGAAACTAATTTGATATCTTTTTACGTATATAAATCAAATTGAGAATTTGTGACATGTATATCAACTAATTAAAATGAAATATATTAAAAAAAATATAGCAAATTTTTTTATGCAAATAAAAAATTACAGGTTGTGGACAATATTTAAAATAAATTAAATATATTTTTTCCTTAAACTTTTGTTAAGTCTTGCTTATTTTAGTCCTAGCAAAATTTATTTGGTTTTAACTCCTAAATTTTTCTTTCATGGACAAAAAATCTTAATGTTAGGGATAAAAATGTTAGCAGGAGAAAATATTTAGAAATTAAAAGTGAAAATTAACAACAAAAATTCAAGGATTAAAATTAGTATAAAAAAAAATTGTCTAAAAACTAAAAGTAAATAGATTTTTTTTATTAAATAGGTTAGGTCAGATTAGACTTTTAAAAAGTTAAGTCATAAACCCCTATTTAAGGTCTGACATATTCTCATTCCTATGTGTATTTAAAAGTTAAAATTTTAAACGTTTTATGTGTTATATATTTGAGGAACAAACTCAACTAAGTAAAATAAAATAGAACAAGTCAATTCAAGAGTACGAAGAAAAAAATAGAGCAAGTCAATGACACTGTCATTTATGTACTGGAGTTTCAACAAATAGGAGAATGGAATGAGAACATTAGTATATAGTATTATATATGAGTAGTAGTAGGGATGACAACGGGGTGGGTTGGGTACGGGTTTTATGATACCCGTCCCCGTCCCCGTCCCCGCGATTGAAACCTATTCCTGTACTCATACCTATACCCGTTGAATATATGATTTTTGTCCTCATTCCCGTCCCCGTCAGATATCGGGTATACCCGTACCTGTAAAAAATTATTATTATTTTTGCAAAAAAAATACATAATAATTTTAAATTATTTTTTTATTATATTACAATTATAATTAGATTGTTTCTCTATTTCATATTTTAATCAAGAGATTTCTTAATAATTAAACAACTATAAATGTTTCACATTATAATAAATAATTACATATAATAAAATATTAAAAAAAATTAACAAATTAAATCGGGACGGGTACAGGGCAGGTATGTATATACTCGTACTCGGTTTAATATATCAGGTGTTACCCGTACCCGTACCCGATCAAACCGGGTATTTCCCGTCAAAGTCGGGACAAATTCAGGTATTACTCAAGGGTACGAGTCTATTTGTCATCCCTAAGTAACAGTGCAATATTATTAATAGAGAAAAAGAATGGAGAAGACAGAAGCAGAGAAAAAAATGAAAAACTCACTTGAAAATTTTGAATTACTTGAAAAGTCACTTCAAACAATCCTCCAAAATTTGATGGTTTTGGATGAGATTGTTTTATGAATTTGGTATTTATAGATACCACTAAAAAGTCCTTCAAAATCTCTCTAATACAACAATCCTTTAAAATTCTTATATTTTTGAATACCAATAAATTATTTTTAAGTTATAAAAAGTCTCAAATGAATACCAATGAGTCTTAATGGACTCTTTAAAAAAATTTGAAAATTCAAATTGAATATCACTAAATTATTTTTAAGTGACATAAAATTCTTATTAAATACCAATGAATTTTTTTATTTCATTTTTTTTTAAATCCTATGAAATCTTAAATCAATACATCCCGTTAATGTTAGGGATAAAAATGTTAGCATGAGAAAAAATTCAAGGATTAAAATTAGTAAAAAAAATTGTCCAAAAACTAAAAGTAAAAAATAGACAAAAATTTTAAGACTACTTTCATATTTAAAGCAATTTTTTTATGCAAATAAAAAATTACAGGTTGTGGATAATATTTAAAATAAATTAAATATATTTTTTTCCTTAAACTTTTGTTAAGTCTCCTAGCAAAATTTATTTGGTTTAACTCCTAAATTTTTCTTTCATGGACAAAAAATCTTAATGTTAGGGATAAAAATGTTAACAGGAGAAAATATTTAGAAATTAAAAGTGAAAATTTACAAGAAAAATTCAAGGATTAAAATTAGTAAAAAAAATTGTCTAAAAACTAAAAATAAATATTTTTTTTTTACTAAAAAGGATAGGTCAGATTAGACTTTAAAAAAGTCGAGCCATAAATTCCTATTTAAGGTCGGGCCTATTTTCAATATGTGTGTTATAAAAAATTACTATTTAAAAGTTAAAATTTTAAGGATTTTCTGTCTTATATATTTGAAGAATAAACTTAACTAAATAGAACAAAATAGAACAAGTTAATTGAAAACTAACAAATTATTTTTAAGTTGTAAAAAGTCTCAAATGAATACTAATTTCTTTAAAAAATCTTGAAAATTCATATTGAATACCACTGAATTATTTTTAAGTGATATAAAATCCTTATTAAATACCAATGAACTTTTTTACTTAGAAAAAGTCATTTAAAATCCTATAAAATCTTAAACCAATACATTCCTGTTAATGTTATGGATAAAAATGTTAGCATGAGAAAAAATCCAAGGATTAAAATTAGTAAAAAAAATTTGTCCAAAAACTAAAAATAAAAATAGGCAAAATTTTTAAAACTACTTACATATTTAATTAAGAAAAAAAACTTACAATCCCACAAGAAAACTATGGCGTGTTAATATGATTGGCACACGTTTTTAATGACTGAGAATTAACTTTCTTTTTCTTTGAAATCATTGAAATTTCTTTTTATGGACAATCTTTCTCAGTGGAATTTGTTTTTGAACACTCTGTCTGTCCTTAAGTTTCTTATGTAATGTGTTATAAATTTCTTATTAAGTTTATCTATTTTATGTTATATGTCTTATTCAATTTAGTTTACGAAAATAGCATGTGTAGAATTGTTATATTCAGATATAATTGTTGTATTGAGATGTCTCTTTGTTCTATGTTTTCTTATTTTTGAATGCCAAAAAGTATATAACAAGCATTCTTACGCGTAAATGGCAGATCGAGATAAAATCCGATACCCTATTCTTGACTGTAATGAAACATTCTGACACCTTGAAAATGTTTTGATTAAACTAATGCACGAATGTGACCGATTCAGAGGATAACATTATTAAATATAGAAAACCAGTGCACATTAGAACTACGCGTGCGCAAGCTAGCTAGTGGATCCTTAAATTTATCTGCACGTTTTTCAGAAACACATTTCAAGTTGACTATATAATAAAGAAAGCCACGACAGATTCTGGAAATGATTACTGTATTTTTTATAATTTAATTAGAAGTTTAGAACAGTGTAAAAAAGAAATTTGGATCATTTCAAAGTATGGTATGCTTGTGTCAATCACTTTAATGATTTCAAAGAAAAAGAAATTTTATGATTACACTTTAACGATTTCAAGGAAATTTCTTTACGGTCGGTGTAAAACTATATTAGAAAATATGGATTTCCAAATACTCGTTGATGTTGAAAAAATTACAAATGAAATGAAAAACGTGATTGCATTATATGAAATTTTATTGAAAATGTAAATTCAATCACAATTTGTAATTCTTTATAAAATTTAATTCGATTTAAATTCAATTTGATATTTTAAGGTGTTCAAATTTAAGAACAAAAAATGAAATTGAAATTTGGATATAAGAAAAATTATTATAATTATTGAATTCTTGAATCAGTAGGACAAATTTAATCGCACATTTTTATCAAGATGCTATACAAATTCGTGTAGAGAAGAACATAAAATAAAATTCAGACACAGAAAGAGAAATGAGAGAAAGAAAATTTTCGGAGAGAGACTTTTAAAACACTTCTAAGAGAATAAAATTAATTTCTAAAGAATGAGGTATATCATATCAAATATACATATATTACACTTATTTATGTTATACTAATGAGCCTAAACAGAGGAATTAAAGACTCAGTCCACTAATTAACTAATTATATCACTAAACAAATTTTAACATTACATTCTAAAAAAAAATATATATATATATATATATATATATATATATAT